CAGTGCTGCGTTTGACACTGTTGACCACAACATATTACTAGACCGACTGGAAAACTGGGTGGGACTTTCAGGAACAGTTCTAAATTGGTTTGAATCCTACTTAAAGGACAGAAACAACTTTGTTTCTATAGGTAAATACACATCTGAGTTGACAAATATGACATGTGGGGTTCCTCAAGGCTCCATCTTGGGGCCTCTTCTCTTTAACGTCTACATGCTACCACTGGCTCAGATAATGAAAAACAACAAAATAAGTTACCATAGCTATGCAGATGACACACAAATGTACGTAACAATTTCACCAGGAGACTATGCTCCAATTCAAACACTGAGTAAGTACATTGAACAAATCAATGACTGGATGTGTCAGAACTTTCTCCAATTAAACAAAGATAAAACTGAGGTAATGGTTTTTGGAGCCAAGGCAGAACGTTTAAAAGTTAGCGCTGAGCTTCAGTCTGCAATGTTCAAAACAACCGATAAAGCCAGAAATCTAGGTGTAGTCATGGACTCTGACCTGAGTTTCAACAGTCACATTAAAACAGTTACTAAATCAGCCTACTATCACCTAAAGAACATATCTAGGATTAAAAGACTAATGTCACAGCAGGATTTGGAAAAACTTGTCCATGCTTTTATCTTCAGTAGACTCGACTACTGCAATGGTGTCTTCACAGGTCTCGCTAAAAAATCTATTAGGAAGCTGCAGCTGATTCAGAACGCCGCTGCTCGAGTCCTCACTAACACTAAGAAAGTGGATCACATCACTCCTGTTCTGAAGTCTTTACACTGGCTTCCTGTGTGTCAAAGAATAGATTTCAAAATATTGCTGCTGGTTTATAAAGCACTGAATGGTTTAGGCCCAAAATACATTACTGACCTCCTGCTAAATTATGAACCATCCAGATCTCTCAGGTCTTCAGGGACTGGTCAGCTTTCTGTCCCCAGAGTCAGAACTAAACATGGTAAAGCAGCGTTCAGTTACTATGCTCCAAATATCTGGAACAAACTCCCAGAAACCTGCAGGTCCGCTGCAACTCTTACTACTTTTAAATCCAGGCTGAAGACTTTTCTTTTTGTCGCTGCTTTTAATTGAACTATTCATATCTTAAACTGCACTGTAACTTTTTATCCATAGTATTTTTTCTTTTAATGTTTATTTTATTAGCTTTTCTTTTTAATGACTGATTTTAAAAATGCCATTTTCTTAATGTCTTTCATTTTTTGTAAAGCACTTTGAATTGCCTTGTGTTGAAAAGTGCTATATAAATTGCCTTGCCTGCCTTCGCCTTGCTGCCTTGCTTGCCTTGCCTTGCCTTGCCTTGCCTTGCTTGCCTTGCCTTGCTGCCTTGCCTTGCCTGCCTGCCTTTGCCTTGCCTTGCCTTGCCTTGCCTTGCCTTGCCTTGCCTGGCCTTGCCTGCCTTGCCTTGCCTTGCCATTGCCTTGCCTGCCTTGCCTTGCCTTGCCTTCCTTGCCTTGCCCTGCCTTGCCTTAGCCTTGCCTTGCCTTGCCTTGCCCTTGCCTTGCCTTGCCTTGCCTTCCTTGCCTTGCCTTGCTGCCTTGCCTGCCTTGCCTTGCCTTGCCTTCACCTCTGCCTTGCCTTCACCTCGCCTTCACTCGCCTTGCCTGCCTTGCCTTCACCTCAACACAAAGACAGTGTGTCCAATCGCAGTGAGGAGTCTGCTGAGCTTGTGGTGGCCTGTATTCACCATGTGGTGGAGCTGAGTGATGGTCTCCCAAATCTGCCTCCACCAGAAACAGACAGCAGGCACTGCGAGGGAAGGAATGATGCTCCTTTTTCGACTTTATCATCTACGATCACTACGATCACTTTTCTGTCTGCGCAAGGCGGTATGCAAAAGCCAGAATCTCTAATGATTGCATTTTCCTCAGAGACTTTGATGAAGCCGGTCCAAGCGGTGTTAGCATGCTTGGCTCTACACATGACTGTAGACATCAGATACAGTAGATGTCTCGGACAACGATAGCAAGCACTAACAGCATTTTAAAATGGGTGTGAAAGTCTCCTCTGCAACACGGCGGGCTCTTCTCTTCCTCTTCTTCATACTTTTCTCTCCCTTTCTCAGTGTCTGTCTCTTTGTCTCTCGCTGTATCCCCCTCTCGTTCACTACCCTAATGTCTTTGTCTGCTTCCTGTCATGCATTCCCTAATTTTGTATCCAACCCCCCTGCTTTATTCACGCTCTCCTCTTCTTTTTTCCTCCCTCTGACCATCTACATCTGCACCCCTCCCCTTGCTCTCCCTCCCTAGGAGGCACACATACACAGATAATACTGCGGCTACATGCTGCTTCGGCAACATACTGCAGCAGGCAAGCGTACTCCACTGCAGCCCTTTAACACAATAGCCATTTCTCTTATGACCTTAGGATGACGAGCAGCCCTTGGTCTTAAAAGAAAATATGTGTCTTATGCATCAATATCAAGCAAAAAGACACATTTGGCTCAAACCTTTTCAAAAACAACCTGTGTCATGGCAGACAGAGCCCTTTATTGTCACCCTACCAACGAAATGTGTTTTTTCCCCCTCAAAATCAGCACATTTTAAGCATTTCATCAACCTATGACAATCACAGCAACAGGCACTGTTTGCTGCCACTTCTCTTTTATTGGCATATGTAGTTTCAGCGAAGCCCTCCCCCCACCTATGGACATACCACCCCTGATTCGCCCTGTCTTGCCTTCTCCCCTGAAGCATGACGGAACTAGGCGTGCTGTTCGAACACAATGGGACTTTTTTAAATAACAGTGAACATTCGCACATACACAAAAACACAAGAAAACACCTCCGAGACAGACATGTGATGATCACGGCGCTTGATAGGACACACAGTGATGCCATTGTGTGGATATCCAGGAGTGATGTAAAGAAACGTCACTGTTGACAGACATACACTCAAAGAACACACACAAAAATGTGCACAAATGTGGTGCACAAATGTACACTGTTAAACAAATCTTTGTTTAACCACCTTTTGCAGCAGACGTAGTGATCTCCTCTGTTAAAACAGTGTGTGATGAGAGTGAAAACGCTGTCTGGTGTGCTATAACATTGCTCAGTCCGGTTTTATCCATTGTGGCTACTGTATGTCTCAGCCCACATGTTCACTCCTTTGTAATATTATATTTTCTTTGATATGTTGGCATTACAAGCTTTTTTGCCTGCTAGGATCATCATATAGAGTTTCACAGGCCAGTGGTCACATGTCCATGAGCCTTCATTAAACACTCGTGCAAACAGGTGCTACCACCAGGGATTCCCCCGACCTCTGCAGGATGTACAGTTTAACCTGATATATATTTAATTAAATGTGAGATGGTGATTACCATTTCATTTGTATATAAATGTTGGCAGTGGGGCTTTGAGTCTTGCGTCAATGACCTTTTAATAAATGATATGGATAAAAAGAAATCTATCAGTGCTCTGGAATAAAGCCAAGTGTCATAATAAGCGTACAGTAAGTCACACGATCCGGCTGTAAAACTCAACAGAAACTTTTTGGATGCATTTAAAAAAATGAGGCGATGTGAAGCCCCATTTAAATACAAGATGGATGACTTGTGCTCAATTGTTTGCTGGAAATCAAACGTGCATATTGGACACAATGGGCCCTTTCTTGTAAAAGAATAGTTGCTAGTCTAATGATGCATCTCAGCTTAAGTCTGTTAACTGTAAACAAAAGGTGGCCTTGACAAATATAGAGAAAGGAGGGAGAGTCATTATTTAGCCTGAATGTGAATACAAGGACGCTGAGTGATGGCTCAACTCCAGTCCCGCTTCTCTTTTTCTTTTTCCAGCTACACCTCTCCTGCCAGTGTGGGATTCTACGAAATCATCCCGTTGTCAAGGTCAGCGATGAGAATAGTGTGTATGAGAAACCTCCAGAAGCACCACTTTATCTTCAATGGTGGAAAGTTACTTGGTACATTTACTCAAGTACTGTCATTATGTACTTTATTATTTTCATTTCCGACCCGGTTGCTCTTCAAATAATGTTTCATGTAGTATTAAAGGTTAATATAAACTTTATTGATACCTTGGTCAAATGTACAAGCTACACAGCAGTATATATAGTATAAAAAAATAAGCTTCACATTAACCAGCAGCAAATATTTTTAAGGAAGAACTGAGTACTTTGACTAACTTCTTATTTTCCGACTCTCCAAAAGCAATGATGAATAGTGAATATATACATTTCGTCAAGACATGGTTTACTTGCAATAGCATAAATATGTCATCACCCATGTTAAGTTTGCTAAAAAAACGACATTATCTGCCCTGACTCTGTTCAACATCACAACTCTTTGTCTGCACTGCATCAAAGTCTAGAGATATTATTTAGCGTCCTTCCGATAGAAAATCCAGGTGTGTGAATGACAAGCTGCCGCATAGTTCTCCGTCCAGAAGCAAAACAACAAATTATATCTGAGCTGCAAATGTCTTTACTGTATATGTATTTACGTATGTTGTTATACTGGCTACCCACAGCAGCCACACACTCCCCACCCGCACTGCTTGGAACAAACACAAACTCACCACCCCACCAAAAGGAAGCAGCTGTTATCAAAACTCTTTCATCTGCTACAGTACTTTGCAAAACTCACAAACGTACACACACGACTACTGAACGAGCCAGTTCGGTTTTATCACACACTGCAAAGACGATTCTTGTTTACTACTTTCATATTATGTCAAGCTATGTTCTACGGTATACTGCATTGTTGTGTGCAATGTCGTTTTGTGGGATTTCACAGCAATGTAACACGGAGAGATCACCCCATACATTTAAATTCCATTCACCACCAAGTACAATTTACTGTTCCACCGATGAATGGGTCACAGACACATGTGTGGACAGTTGTTCTTCATGCATGTTACTGTTTGCAATGGCTCCCTTTCATCTATCGTTTGCCAAGAGAGCAGTCATACCAACAATGTACATATTGTGCCACTTCACGTGTTGCTTAGGTAGTACTCACTGCTTTGGACGTTAACAGTGCCGGTGGAGTTGTCCTTTCCCAGCGTGTTCTCCACCACACACGTGTAATTCCCAGAATCCTCCAGTTTTGCTCTGTTGATCTGGAGTTTGGAGTTCCTCCTGTGGGAGACAACACTTGCAAAGCTGAGTCAGGGGAATCAGGGCAGGGAGGAAATAGCATGGAAACGCAACAAGTGGAAACATGAGGGACAGAGTTAGACAACAGGGCAAGCATCAGCATGGCAACAGCTCTTTGCTTTGATAGGGACACATAATCACTTACTCTGGGGCCAAATTTGAGGGGGGAAAACACTGATTACAGTTTTAAAAAAGCATAGGGCCGAGTGTTACTGGCATACTCTCTAATAAAAGGGGTTATTGGTTTAACAGTTCAGGTGAATATACATCAATAGGAGGTTTTACTACAATACTTTGTCAAAGCCAGCTGCCTTTATTTAAGTCATTATTAGCCAACCTGACTGAGAGAGAACCATGGATGTATTAAGAGAGATGAATATGGCAGGGCTTGTAAACCCTGTTGCCAAATTGGCTACAACTAAAAATATCCCATGAAAGAACCCAAAAAGCATTTTTCCCATAGACTTTCATGAATGAATTGTTACTTTTTTTTTAAAAAGAAACTGATATATCTCTATGGGGTAATTCCAATGTATGTTCACTGGCCTCGGAGTAACTAGCCGAAACATATAGGAAAACTGGTAAGAGAGATAAAACATCCATGGAACAAAAACATGGTATTGTGGGTTTTGCCAGGTTTCACTCGTCTTAAATTAAATAAGTGAAATGTTTAACCGTCAGATGCTAAAATGCAGTGTTAAAATATCTCTCTGAGGTTAGTGATACAAAGGGCAATGTCTCGGTCAAGCAAACATTAGCCGGTGTCAGAACGTGACCAGTAACATGTGAATGTATATCTTTAACGGTGGTTGTGTTTAATTGACTCAAAGTGGATTTTTTTTTTTATCTCACTGAGACTCTTCTTGTTGAACAAAGTTTCAAATAAATAAATAAGAAATTGATTTGCATAAATCATCATACTACATTTAATTGATTGAATAAACGTTTGTAGTCCAAAGCATTGAGTACATGCTTTTATTCCACTTATTTATTGATATAGGCTTTTAAACTTGTTTCAAACTGCAGTTTCATGAAAAACGGAATAAGCACATTCTCCTGATAACAGCATCCTTAGGAGTACCTCGGTCTATTTCCATCTTACACTGTATGTAAGGTTTACATGACATGGATGACTTATACTCACGAGGTGTCCCTTATTTTGAGTGTTTTGCTTTTCTGCAGCTCGTTGCCATCTTTGAACCATCTGAAGGAGAGAGAGCTCCCTTTGGCCGCACACTTAACTATGAGCTTGCCTCCCTCGTCCACTGTTATTGGATTCTTCATCGGTTTTAACTTTGGAGCCGCAGCTAAAAAGGGGACAAAGAAAAAGGCATTGTTATTAACCACTATCCACACACATTTTCTTGATGATTGTGTGCATTGATTTTAGGAGAAACAGCGGGACAAAGCAGGACAATCATGGTCTCTACGGACTGAGCAGATAACTCTCTCATGCGACCGCCAGATGTTGTCACTGGAGACATCATCAACCTTGCCTCGGACTAATAAACATGCTGGATTTCACTCTGGATTTGTTGCTCTAAAGACACCTGAAGCAATATTTAGCAAACATGCCCAAGCTGATGAAGAACATTTGCAACTGTTGTATAAATGTAATAACCTGTTTGTTGTGAGTACAGCATCAAAAAGAAGATGTAGTCAGTAATAAAATAGTAGCACTTTCATCTGCTTTCAAGTTACTTACTATGTTCATATTTTATAACAGTGTATATTATATCTGATGTGTGAGACACAAATATGTTCACAAGTCACTTCATGCAACTTATTTTTCCTCTAATTGAAATATGACAATGATCACACACACACACACACACACACACACACACACACACACACACACACACACACACACACACACACACACACACACACACACACACACACACACACACACACACACACACACACACACACACACACACACACACACACACACACACACACCAGCTGACAGCTGCGCACATGTTTAGGAGAAGACTCATGCAGGGAGGAGCGAGGGAGAAGGGGTGAACAAGGGTCAACCAGGGGCTGTCCAAGATGCCCCCCCACTCCCCCTCTTTTACACACAAACCCACTCCCTCCATGTGTAACATTTACAATTTCATGCATATGCTTAACTGAGTGGTCCTACAAACTACAGCTGTGCATCTCCACTACAGCTACAGAATGAAGACTAACAAAGCCTGACAAGCACAGAATAGTATACATAGGTAATGACTTCAATTAAACATTTAAAATGTAGTGCACCAAAGTCGGCCCCCGTCTTCCTCTTTTGAGGAGACTGTCCTACTTCCCTGACCTAGTAAAGGCGACATGTCTGAAAAAAAAGAAAAACCTTAATGATGCTGCATTGTTCTTTTTTTCTTTGTTAGTTTAAGACGACAGCTGAGATGGATCATGGGGTACAGTTGGGTTTGGATTGACAGTGTGACATTTACAATGGTAAAGCACACACTTAAGCCGTTACGAAAAAGTCTCTATCGTGATGTTCTGCAGTGTTCTGAAGTCACCGCTATTATTAATATCCTAATTCAGCTCACCACATTAGCCACATGTACTTTTTCTCATGCACACAGCTTTGTAAGCCTGGCAGATAGGCAGAGGAAATAAAGAGGTCTGTCAATGGCAACCCAGTAGTGTTCGGTACCTTGCGAGTGTGTGTGTGTGTGTGTGTGTGTGTGTGTGTGTGTGTGTGTGTGTGTGTGTGTGTGTGTGTGTGTGTGTGTGTGTGTGTGTGTGTGTGTGTGTGTGTGTGTGTGTGTGTGTGTGTGTGTGTGTGTGTGTGTGTGTGTGTGTGTGTGTGTGTGTGTGTGTGTCCTGCCATCTCTGGTCACTTGGCACTAATTCTCCTGATGCGAGTCAGAGGCGACAGCTCTCACTTCCTGTAGTGGATCTCTTTGCTATCTGACATTGAAATACTGATGCTTTACAAAATCTACCACCATCCATCCTCGCACACCCACTTCATGTCTCACGTAAAGGCCCATATTTGATGTATGATGTTTTCCTAAATCATTTAAGAAACATATTCTATAAATAGAATTCACTTAATTTGGATCTTGGGTGTTTACTGACATGATTCGCCAACATTTTGTCCCACTTTAAGAAGACGTTGTGCACATTTTCAGGTCCATATTTGTATTTTGTGTGACGTGTTTGGATACCTTAATGTTAATGCTGTAGCACCTTTGTTCACGCTCTGTCTGAAACCAGAGCCCAGTCTGCTCTGATTGGTTAGCTGGCCGGCTCTGTCGTGATTGGTCAACCGCTCAGAGATGTACCGCCCCTTAGCCTATCACTTACAATTTGTGGATTACTATCCAATAGAAGCGCGAGTGTTACATAGTGATGTCATGTCACAGAAGTAAATAAAACAGTCCAATGGAGGCGTTTCATGCAGGGGGGGTGACTGGTGGATGAGAAACTTTGGGATTTCAGCCTTTGCAGACCATTTACATGCACACAAAGCTATATAACACACTACAGGAAAGGGAAAACTCCTAAAGTCATTATAGGGTTTCTTTAAATTATATATTTATTTCTTGTTTCTTGAATGTTTTTACCAAATCGCATCCTATTTAAGGAGATCCAATGAATTTAAATACTATTTTTACTTCACATCAAAAGCAGTCATGATTATTCCACAGTATACTACAAGAGCTTTTCTTTTCCACTGGAGTCAAAGATAGGGAAATGTCAAATTTAAAATAGCTCACAAACAGCTCAGATCAACGGAAAAACAACTATTCTTAGCTCAAAAGCATCTTTTTGTTACTATAATTATTCTGTAGCTGGAAAGACAGAGGTCTTTTATCTGTGAACAGCTTCCTGTAGGAAAATGTGAGTGATGATATTCATGGCGTTTGGAAAAGAAAGACAAAGAATCTAACACAAGGCAGACGCTCCTTTGTGCCGTGGCACCGAAGGACTTAATGAGCTAAAATGCAGGATGGATGTATGTGCGGCGTAAGATTTGACTGCCCCAATAGGGTTTGGGACAATAAATATTGTTAATATTATATGCTGAAAATCATAACATCATATTAAATAGGCTACACATACACGTTATCGCCATTTCAGATCGACTCTGCATGTGGCGTGCGTTTATCAATAGTCTCCAGCAAGACCATATACTGAACATGAGACTCCTGATGCTGCCAGATGTTCTTCATTAAACATTTCTGTTATTTAACAAATGTAATATAGTATATGGGACTTGATGTTAAATAAAGATCAGAATGAAAAATGTTCTATGGTCTACTGATCCCCCTAATTTTCACATTAGGCTGGCTAATGGAAACATACCAGCAATGAATGAGTTATACTGCACGTGATGACAGAGCCTATATGTGCACTGTTAGCAGCCGCATCAGATATTTTCATGGGTCGTTCTCAAGTTCCAAAATCAACTTTCTAAGAAAAACTATTTTGTTTGAATATAATTTACTGTAAAATAAACTTATCATACACTGCTGTATATAATGACTTATAAAACGCCATGCACTCAAGGGTGCATAATGTACATGATCTCCAAACACACTGTGCTCTGCTAGACTAAAACCAGCACACTGCCCCAGGAAAGCCTTGTCAGTCATAGTCAGAGAACAGCAGGAATGAGGTTGCACCATAAAGCAAGAATATTTAGGACTTTGCCTGGACACAGTTTTGTCCTTGACAAGCAAATTAAACAAGCCATGTCCTTGCCTGGAAAAGTTACAGGACTGCACTTCTCATCAACCAAGAGAGCCAGATGTGCAAGAAGGTCTGCTCCATCCACAGGATACACTTTTAATGAAGACACAGGAGTCCATCAGCCACTCCAGCTCTGAGATACAGTTCACCATTATAGTGCATGGATAGTCTTTATGTCCACGTTAAATAATGTGTCTTTCCAGCTCCTTAATCTGTGCTGCACAAAATACATTTGCCTCTAAAGATTATCAAAGAACATGTTGACATTGGTCAGTGACATAGTTTATTGGAATAATGGTTGTAAAACAGAGCATCTTAAAGGAGATACTTTGATGTAACGACTTTTAAGTCAACTGTACTTGACATAAAGCATATTAAATCTACAAACTGCAATGTTTTCCAACAAGAAGATAAAGAGTGATTATCATTGGAAATAGAATAATTTCTTGGAGGCAAATGGTTATCTCATGTTCCATTACACCAGTGGAAAAAGTGTCGGGCAGCTACGATAAACCCCTCGCCTCAACAACAGCCTGATTCTCTCTTTCTGAAGCGGAGGGGCAGCTGCAGACATGGACTATAAAAACCAAATTTGAGAATAGAAGCCTAACCGGCGTGTCAACAGCTCATGCCTTGGGTAACAGTTGGAGACCTCGGCCCAGAGAGAGGTTCAAACACAAAGTCAGTTGATGAATTAACAATGCCTTGCTCGTATTATTGAGTTAACATTTCAGTTTTACTTCCAGGAGCTTAGGAAAGGAATCCGAGGCATGCCTTTGTGTTTCCCCCTTCTAGACAAAGTATCGCTGATTACTCTGGTGTTATGTCACTTTACTGCACACTGTCAAAAGACACATTACATGGTGACCTAGCTAAAGAAATGGGTTTTGCATGTGGGAATGCTCTTCAGACATTGCACACTAGTGCCTGTTCAAAGATATCATTTCAACAGCCTCCCACCACAACCAATTATCTGTTACATTGTTTATGTGACTCAAGACACTCTACTTATCTCTCGCCAAACACCACAAATATGCATCCGATAGTGTTTTTTCATTTATTAAAATGTTTGTGTTTTGTTTTTCTTTGCGGCAGTAAAACCTACTATGATTAAGTCCATCTTGGCATGTCAAAATCCCCATTTGATCATTGCTCAACTTTGTAACTACTATGTCCTTTTTCTTTCATACAACCTGTCTTTATAGCACATACAAAAGTTAACAATGTCAACACAATGCGTGGACTCCTCAGTGGACTCCTCAGTGGACTCCTCAGTGGACTCCTCATTTCATCCAGATGCGAAGGGACAAATGTCCATTACTACTTTAGCTTTTAAAACACAACCCAAAGAGGCTAAATCATCATATTAAGTTAAAAGCAGAAGAACTGGTCTCTGTCACAGCTTTGTGCCATGCACAAATAAGAACCAACAAGTTGACCAATCAGCCGGCCCCTGCTAGGAAATAAAAGTGTTCCTTTACACTGAGGGGAACATTTACAAACTTTGCAGAAGCTGAACGCGCCAAAGAAACGGTGGTATTCTTACCCACAAGGAGTGAAATGTAACGCTAACTGCATTACGATGCAAATGGCG